GGGGATGGTTGCATCATCTCCATCACTCCTCCTCCATCCTCTTAATTTTTTTTCCCCTGTGAATATTAAGCCAAGCTTGGCTTGAAGCCTGGGAGCGCTTCGGCAGCACCTCGTACACCTCAGTGCTGTTGGCTCCAGGTTATATTTATCGTGTTTTTCCCCAGGATGCAAAACATCCCAAGCTCATCGCAAAGGCGTTGCATTTAGCAGCATCTGCTGGGTTGCCACTGACCCCAAGCTGGAGGCCACCAGGAGCTTTCTTGCAAGGAAGCACGGTCTGGCGGGGACTGAGCACAACCCCTGCAGACGTTCAGAGCCGTGGTGGTGGAGCAAAGAGACGATACCAGCCTGCTGGTGGTGAGGAGGAGGGTGATCTGCTCTGGGCCCCATCCCATCCCATCGGATACCCGGGTGGAAGGAGCCGGACCAGGCAGTGCCTTTGCAGAGTGGCTGATGGGTCCCTGGGGAGTGGATGGCTCTTGCACCACCTAAATGAGCCTGCGGCTGGCAGGAAAACGCTTCTAAACCAGAAGTGGGAGACGTTTACAAGTTGTAGGGGATCCGTGTGCCAGCGTGGCTTGCGCTTTGGAGCGGTGGTTTCCTCTCTTTGTTCGTCTGGCTCGCACCGCCGCGGCGCTCAGAAAGGCAGGCGTGCCTCTGGCCATCTCCTGGAAGCTTATCTTACCCCAGAAGAATATATGAGATTTCCTTTTTAAATTAAAGCTTAATATTTTTGCAATAATAAAAAAAAAAGAGGCTTGGTTATAAGGTTATAAACTCGTACTTGGTTTTCTGGTAACAGACGATAGGACGAGGGGGAATGGTTTGAAGTTGCGCCAGGGCAGGATTAGGTTGGACATTAGGAAAAACTTCTCACCAAAAGGGTTGTCAGGCTCTGGAATGGGCTGCCCAGGGAGGTGGTCGAGCCCCCATCCCTGGAGGGATTTAAAAGAAGGATAGATGGGGTGCTTAGGGCCAGGGTTTAGTGGTGGGATGGCAGGGTTAGGTTAAGGGTTGGACTCGATGATCTCAAAGGTCTTTTCCAACCAAAGCGATTCTATGGTTCTATGATTCTTCTGCTGAAGTTAAAGCACACGTAGACTGAGTAAATGACTTGTCCCAGCTCAGCCACCAGCAGCCCTGGGGTCACCTTGGACCATCCAAAAAGCTCACAGGACTGCCAAAAGCAGGGAAGGACCTACGCTAAACGGACACTTAGAGAATCATGAGCTACATCCTCTCTTTCAAGAAAGTGAGGACATGAACACAAGCAGCTGCGTTAATCAATATGCACACTTATTAATCCCCTTTCTGAGGGTTACAAATTAGAAGAGGGAGAGGTGTGTGCATGCTGGGCAGGGGCCAGCCCTGGGCTCACAGCATTTTGAAGCCTGAGTGCTGATGGAAACTGGTAAGAGGGTTTGCAAGAAACCATGTTGCTCACTGGCGTCTGTTACAGCCGGAACGGCTTAAGCGGAGCCTAAAGTTAGGCCAGTGCTAAGACCTCTTAAATAATCTATGTCTGGTACCAAGAGTAGCTGGGGTGGTTTCAAAGAGCTGGTGACTTTTTTCGCTTGCAGCATCCTTCGCAGAGGAATTCTCCCTACCGCATCTCCCGAGGTTGTGTGAATTGACTCATAGTTCAGTAAAAATGCTTGTGGTTTAGTAAAACATGGTCTGTTGGACTCTGGCCTTGCATTATCTCAGAGAAAGAAGTGGAACTAATTTTTATATGTTGCACTGGATGATTTCTAATTGTTCCTGGCCGTCCTGCGGAGTTCATTATTTCTCCTCCAACCGACACCAGCTTCTAATTAGGGGATGTAAAATTAAGATGGAAGAGCATCAGTTTGCAAGGGTATTGCTGCTCAGGAAGGAATCTGGGCTGGATTTAAGCCAAAAATATCCTCTTGTTTGCAAGATTTGGGTGGGGAGAGGATGGCTCAAATGCTGCATGGTATCAGCCCTGTAAGAGGGAGCGCTAACGGAGCAGCCTTCCCCCTCCTAAAAGGGGGCAATTAGCTCCTGGCCTCCTTGCCCGTTCCCCTGCATCTCTCATTCATTCAAAGGGCACCGATATTTCCTAAACCCAAGTTTTTGCTACGGCAAATTTGGGGTGGCTTCTCCACGCCGGGGTGTGCGACCGCAGCTGGGGGCAGCAGGCACAGAAGGGGCTCTGGGTGGTGCTGCTCTGGTGATGCATTTCAGGTGATTTATCAGGTTTTTCCCATATTTGCTCCCATTTATTTTTTTTTTAATGCTAAATATTTTTTTCTCCTGGGAGGGTGATGTGACATCTCCAGGGCCCCCTTGCGGTGCTGCTTTTGGGGTACAATTGCAAAGCCAAGAGCTGAAATAGCTTGGCCAAGACCTTCTTAAATCCATGTATTTCGCCATCGGGATGCATCACAACTTTAGGAAACGTAACACTGCTCTGAAAACAATCCCAGCTCCTCATTGACATCCTTTGCTGCCAGGAGACTTCTGGAAGATGCTTCTATAGCTATTTAATGGGAAGGGAACAAATTCTTCACCATAAGGCATCCCCTTGCTTCCCTGAGCAGCGTTAGCGTTATGGTCTGGTAGAAGAAAAGCTTTCAGAAATCGGAACACTTGAGACATTGCAGAAATCCAGAGGTTTTCAGCCTCATCCATCAGCCACGTGTGGCACCGGCTGCTTTTTACAGGTGCTTAATAAATGCAAACGAGCTCCGGTGTTTTTCTCTCCCCTCCTTTTATAACCCCGCTACTTGCTCATTCTCATTCCACTTCTGGTCAGCAGAGATGGCTTTGATGGCAGGTTTTCCCCCAGGCTTTAGCTAGGAATTAAACCTGGCTTAATATGTACAGCATGGTAGACCTGGTTGGGGGTTTGCCACCAAGACTCGTTTATATTTGGAAATAAGACGTGGAGGAGCCGTGAGTGGTTTTGATGAACTCCTAGCATGGCAAAAAAGGGGGTTAGGGACCTTTAGTGCTTTGGTGCTTTAGGAGGAAAAGCAACGAGAATGAGGAATTTCCCCCAGGTTTTGTACAGAGTTAAGAAATTTGATTTGGAAAAAAAAAAAAAAGAAGGAAAAGTTTTTGCTTCAGTTTCAGATGGGCTGAAAGGTCGTTTTAACTCTGTCCTCAGATTTCCCTGGAGCAGAAAATCTGCTTTCCATTTCATCTACCCCGCAATGAAGCTTACAGCCGCTAATTTTGAGGAATTAGTGTCTTTCTGCAGAGTTTGCTCTCGTCTCTAGAAATGAGTCCTTGTTAACAGGCCAACGCAGATGTTTTGTTAGCCGTCACGATGTGAACCCCACATCTGTACCCAGGGGCACATGGAAAGTAGCAGCGTTGCCTTGGGTTGGATGCAAACCAGAAGAGCCCTTCCCAGAGCGCAGGATCCAAAACTTGTCCCAGTTATCCCAGCGGACACAGCGCGGCTGAGCAACCGCTAAATCCCACCATCTTTTTGGTCTCAGTTATCAGGAAACAGCTCCCATGAAGTTCAACCAATTTCATTGAGACTAACTACAATAAAGCATTAAACAAATGTTTTACGTCCTAAGTCCGTACATTAAAATACATTAACTGCATTTATGGTTTAACCAACAGTTTAGTGACTTTGTGAATGATGGAATTTGAATTTTTTAAGCCAACAGACCAATCTTTTCCTATATTTTTCATTACAGGAAACAAAGATAGTTTGTCCATATCCATCTTTTCCTCTGAGTGCCAGGTATTACCCCTACTAACCAACAGACCCGAGCAAAAGATACCTAAATCTGTAAGGAGGTACCTAAAAATGAATGAGACAGTATGGAAGAAGAGCAGTGAAAAGGGGAGATCATTTGGTTAAAAATTGTGTTTAAAAATCTATTCAAGTTGCAACATTTCTACCAAAAAGTGGCAGAAAATCTAAGATTTGGGGGTATAATGCTTCAGCATACAGAAGATATAGTCCTCTGCCTGACTGAAAGGCAAGTAAATATCCACCCGTTGGAAAGCCTTTCCTGAGAGATGACTCCAAATCACAGGAGCTGGTGCATCGCTCTTTTCCTAGCGCTGTTAAAATTACTTGTTAAAAACAAATTTACCTTTGGTGGCATTGAAATTTCAGCCAGGAAATACAAGCACATGGAAAAACAAATCCAAAGCTTTCCAAAGATAATTTTTTTGCGGGGCAGGGAGCTCTTGTGGATGTATTTTTACCATTGCTTTGGGTGTTTGCTTTTGTGGAGGGTTAGAAGGTTGGAAGTGTGGAAGCAGACCTGGTGGGCGGCTGAGCTGGGATGCTCACCTGAGTGCAAGGTCTTGGTAGGACTCCACAAGGCTTTGACATCTCTATGGATGATGAGTACCTCCATGGTGACGTTAGGCAGATGTGTAAATGCGTAAGGCTCCGGGGCGTAAGCCAAGTCCTGGGTCTGTGTGAGGACATTCCCATCCTGGAGATTTTTATGCCTTTCCCAGAAAGATACAGGTCCGGATGATTTTAGCGGGGTGAGTTTCATAGCCTCAGTGTAGTTGCTTGACAGTTCCCATTACACCTGCAAGAGCAGCGGTGCCTTCCCTGCCGGGGAGACGACCGCCCAGGCTCCAGGGTTGATGAGAAGCAGCAGCCAAGCACCCAACACGCTCCCGTGCTCAGGTCTGCTGTCGGTACGGGATTCCTCATGGGGAAAACCTCCAGAGCTTCTCGATTTGGGCTTTTTTTTTTCCCTAGAGCTGCAGTCCACGCGATAGCTTTCCTTAAGCAACCCAACATAGCTCATGTAACCCCATCTCCTTGCAGGTACTCCCGTCCCCTTTGCTTCCTGGGAGGCAAAGCCAAGAGCTCAGGGTAGGGTCCAGGTAGCCGCAGGCACCGCGAAGCCATCAGCGAGGCACCGTGGCCAACCACCACGCATTTTTATGATTTCATTTAATTTTTTTTCGGGGGACTCTGCTGCATCCCGGGCCGCGAGGGGGGAATAACCTCTTTGATTTTATTTTTTTTTCAGTTCTCTCAGGCCAGACACACCACAGCCCTTTGAAACGCTCTGTGTCCCTTACCCCACCCATGAATGTGCCAAACCAACCTCTAGGACATGGATGGATGTCTCATGAGGACTTACGAGCTAGAGGACCCCAGTGCATCCCTTCCGATCATGCCCCCCTGTCTCCACAAAGCAGTGTAGCCTCTTCGGGAAGTGGTGGGAGTGAACATTTAGAAGATCAGCCTTCCGCTCGTAACACATTCCAGGAGGAAGGGAGTGGGATGAAAGGTGAGTGAAAAACCAGACGCCTCCCCCCCCCGCTCCAGCACCCAGAGGCAGGAGGGGACAAAGCCGTTTTCCCGGCAGCGCGGGGCTCAGTTGGCGGTTTTGGGTGAGAGTTCTCGTAACCAAACGGGGCCTTTCAGCGTTTCTTCCCAGCTTAGGAATTTAGGTTTAGGGGAATAAGTTCAGTTTTCTTTCAAGCAGCGGCTGCTCCTGATCTGGTGTCTTACAGTTGGGTGCCGGTGGGCTGGTTTTGCCCAAAAATCCTGCAAGCTGCCAGCTTTCCAAAAAGCTGGATTTTGTTCCATAGCCTATGGCTTTCGGCTGCGAGTGGTGCTCTTTTCTCTCTCCTTGGTTTTTGTTTTTTTTTTTTTTAAATTATGGTGAAAAATAGCTTAGCATAGGTTTAGCAAGCCAGCTGTGATTTACCATCATGGTGTTTGGTACCTACCAAGTGTTTGGGGACGTTTTGGCTTAGGGTACTTGTTCACAGTGAATTTATCCTGTGTATCTGGTTGTCTTTCCCGTTACACCTGCATCTCACGGAAACTCTTAGCAATAAATGTGTGTGATCCTGTTGGTAAACAAGGCAGAAACGAAACCCTGTTGCTGCAGTCAAAGATGGAGAGCAAACTTCAGGCCGTAGAGGAATAAATAGATAAAAACTGGGCAAACACATAGACTGCATATCCCAATAAACAGCCAAAATGACTGAAAATGAACCCGCAGCTACCCGAGACTGATTTAAACGACTGCAATTTTGGGTAATGCAAAGCGACTCCGTTGGGTAAACACCGATGTCGTAACAGAGTAAGGAAACAATCGCGTTTTTTAAATAGGCACAAGGTCTGATATTATTCTCATTACAGACACATCTAGATACGTATGAATCTCTGCAATGTGGAGTTGTGTTTGGCTTGGCACTGCGCGACTTTGATGCGCATGAAATAAATGCATGAAACACCACCCCCCCCTCACGGTTCCCCGGTGGGATGGATGCTGGGGGCTCAGCCCTCTCCCTGGCTGGACTTTGCACCGCAGCGTTGCTCTGGGGGGAAGGCGATGGGCTGTAGATGTGATGGGAGAGTTTGCTGAGCCGGGCTTTGCTTCTCAGTGGCTCCGCTTGCTCCCGAACGCCAACTCGGGTAGCGTGTGGGGGTTGTGTTGGGTCCAGCGGTGCTGCAGGCGCTGCCTGCCCGTGGATCTCACTGCGTGCCTGAGCTCACGGCGGAGCGGCCGGCAGGCTCGGAGGCATCACCCTGAGCATGTTGAAGACTAAGCTGTGATCAACGTAAAGGATCCCCAAGGCTTTCCGTACCGGGTCCTGCAGTCTCTCAGATCAAGGAGACCCTTGTTAGGAGCTGGTGGTGCAGAGGGGTCTATTTAACGTTACGTTTATCCAGGTTTCTGGTGATGGGACTGGGGAGGAGACTGCAGGGAGCTTGGCTCCCTGTGATCCACAGCTGCAGCTCTGGGACCTGCGTGGACGGAAACTTCCCAGTGCAATGCAATCGATCTGTACAGCCAAATCTGCAAAACCCAAAGGCGCTATTGCCCAGGCTGACATAGAATCATAGAATCACAGAATTGTTTAGGTTGGAAAAGCCCTTTAAGATCATCAAGCCCAACCATTCCCCTAACCCTGCCATCCCACCACTAAACCATCTCCCTAAGCACCTCGTCTGCCCGGCTTTTAAATCCCCCCAGGGATGGGGACTCGACCCCTTCCCTGGGCAGCCCCTTCCAGAGCTTCACAGTCCTTCGGGGGAAGAAATTTTCCCCAGTGTCCAACCTCACCCTGCCCTGGCACAACTTGAGGCCGTTTCCCCTCATCCCATCGCCCATTCCCTGGGAGCAGAGCCCGACCCCCCCCGGCTCCCCCCTCCTCTCAGGCAGTTGTAGGGAGCGATGAGGGCTCCCCTCAGCCTCCTCTGCTCCAGGCTGAACCCCCCCAGCTCCCCCAGCCACTCCTCAATAATCAATTAAATAAACCCCAGATATTAAGACAGCACATTGCTGCTGCAGCAGCCCCCCCTGGGAGAGATGGCTGCCCTTCCTCGGGCCGTCCCTTCCCGGGCATCCTCCTTCTCTGGAAGAAGGTTTGCAAACATCTAAACCTGGTTCCCCCCGTTGCGGAGTCAGCCGGTTTGCTTTTATCCCGCTGTCCGGGGACGTGCAAAACAGATGTCGGCAGCCTCTGGTGTCTACGACTGTCGCGCCCCCCCCCCCCGCCGCTGTATTTTCTTCAGGCTGAAACAATCCAGTTTCTTCCCAGATGGTGTTTTCTAAACTTGGGGTTGTTCATGCTTATCTCCGCCGGGGTTTTTCCAGAAAGTCCGTGTTTTATTGAAGATGCGTTGCCCAAAACTGGACTCGGGAGCAGGGCAGAGTCTCGCTTGCCATACAGACAGCGTTCCTGTGGCTGTATAGCTCAGCGTCCTCAAATAACACCCCCCGTGGGCTGCGTGTGACCCATTGTATCCCCACAGCTTTCCTGCAAAAAAAAAAAAGGGACTGCCCGTTCCCTGCCCTCGGTTCGTGCCGTTTCTTGTTCCTACAGAAACGCGCAACTTTGTGCATTTTTATTGGGTTGCATCTTATTTCATCCAGACCGGCCGCTGGGTTTGCCAAGTCCCTTCTCTGAATTGCAGCCACGTCTCCCCGCGTGCCTGCAGGCTCCTGTGGCTTGGTGTCACCTCCATCTCCGGCCAGCTTGCTCCTTCTTTCACACCCTCCACGGCATCCAGGAGGGTAGTGGGGAAACCAAACCCATGACAGACCCCTGTCCAACGGCGCTTAGCAGTTCGCCTCCCTTAAGGTCACCTATTTCTCTCCTCGCCATCTATCTTCGTGCTGAAGGAAAAGTGCCCTTTGGCTTTTTCCCAGCCCCTGGTTTCTCCAGGGGCAGATGCAGACACTTTGTTCCCTACGGACCCCATCTGTCTGTCCATCTGTCCCTTCCCGGGGCACAGCTCGGGGTGCATGGGGAGGAGGTTTTGGGTGGAGCTGGGGGTTTCTGCTGTGAGTACGCCCATGGCTTAGCATGGTGTGCCCTAAGGGCACTTCTGAAGATGTCCTGTGTCTATATTGGCCTGCACGTATATATGGCAGGGTGAATTATTTTCCTTCTAATTTTCCATGCCAGCACCCGGATGGACGCGTGCCGGCCGAACTGCGGCGTTTAATGCATACAGGGGACGATGTATGTGAGCAGCATGCAAGCCCTCGGTTTGCTGCTCGCGTCAGGCGCAGCGTTTCTGACAGCCGTGCCGTGACTTTGCAATTAGCTCCTGGTAATCAGTGATTAAAGAGTCGCTCCGCGGGCGGGTGGCTCACTGCTCCCTGGGGAGCGTTAGGATGTTTGACTTTCCAAGGACCGTGAAATCGCCTTAGATGACCTCCCCAGCCCACTCCGGGGATGCCATCCCTGCTGGCAAGGGGGCTTGGGGACCATCTTAGCTTCCCAAAATTAGGAGGTAGTCCGGGGAGGCTGATGCGAAGAGGAAGAAGAGCTGCTTTGACCCTCTGCGAAGGTTGGAGATGGGTTTTGTGCCAGGTGTAATATCTATATGAAGTGACATCTCTCTTCCGAAAGTATCCCCGTGGGCTTGCCGGCGGCACGGACGTGCACCAAAGGCAGATGTCCCCAGGGGACACGGGATCAGGCAGACTTTTAATGTGCCGTCATTAAAATGGCCTGGCTTTGTGTTAAAATGAGGTTGAGATTCGAGCCTGCCAGTCCCGTGCTAGAAACAGAGGGCTTTCTGCTAATAGCTTTTAATTTTTCTAAGCAGAAGATCGATTTAAGAGGCCTTTGGTAGCAGGTTTTAGGGCTGCTGCATGTCGGGAATTTTGGAAAATGGCAAATTTCAGCCTCTCCATGCTCAGTAACTGCTTTGCCCCTGTGTTTGATGTGGGGTTGATCTTCTCCTGTGCAGCATTTGAGGATTTGACCTCATCAATACATACAAATATCTTAAGGATGGAAGTCAAGAGGATGGAGCCAGACTCTTTGCAGTGGTGCCCAGCGCCAGGACAAGGGGCAATGGGCACAAACGGAGACATAAGAGGTTTCAGTTGAATATGAGGAAAAACTTCTTTACTCTGAGGATGACGAAGCACTGGAATAGGCTGCCCAGGGGGGCTGTGGAGTCTCCTTCTCTGGAGATATTCAAAGCCCGGCTGGACGCTGTCCTGTGTAACATGCTCTAGAACCTGCTTTAGCAGGGGGGTGGGACTGGGTGATCTCCTGAGGTCCCTTCCAACCCTTGCGATTCTGTGATTCTGTAATTTCATGGAAACACGAATCCTGTTGTGTGCCAGAGGACAGAGAGCGTGAGCAAAATGCAGAATTTTTGGGGCTGTTTGCATCCTCTGCTTGGATGCAAGTGAGGTTTGGGGTCAGCCTGGGCAGTGGGCAGCAGAAGACTTCTGGCAGATGTAAGAATTGCTAGAACTGTAAGAATCAGAACCAAACCGATGGTCCGTCTTGCCCTGTCCACTCCAGCGATGAGGTGTTGGTTTGGGAAGAGGTCTGTGACGATCCTTGGCTTGCATCTGGCACTCGGCAGCATGGGGCTTTCTGGACAGAAATGACCCATCCTGCGGGATGTCCCGGCAATGGGACTGTCCTCCTCGTGTCCTCTCATCCCTTTCTGAAGCAAGTCCTCACACTTTGCAGGCAGATCAGCCTAGAAAACTTCTGAGGTTGGGTGCGTTAATGAAGGTTATTGGACATGGCCATGAAGGTTGTCCTGATGCTGGCCTTGGGGTTGGTGAGCAGAGCACCAGCACCCACAGCAGTCCCAGCCTGGCAGCAGAAGCCCATAGTGGGTAGAAAACCCTCCTCAAAACATTGCAATCCCCCATTCCTCCTCCCCCCCTTCGTGGGCACATTGGGCAGAGGAACCCCACCGACTCAGGATGATCAAAGAGAGGGGAGATGTGGCTGTTAATTCGTATTTAGCCCCAAAAGAGACATTTCCTCAGCTTCCACCTCTTCTCTCCATTCAAGGTGTGAGGTTTTGTGCAGTTTGGGGCTGAAACACTGGGTTTGCACTGTTACTGCACCCGGCGCGGGTTGAGAGGAGGCTCCCGGGAGTCTCCCTGGTGGGGAAGGGGACCCAGACCAAGGGACAGGGGGTATGGCTGGGAGCGGAGCACACGGGCTCTGTCAGCTGAGGCAGAACTACTGTCAGGTGGAAGGTGCTAAATAAAGCAGGTCCCGATTTGGCACAGCATTTGAAGCCTTTAGGATGCAAAGCAAAAGCATCATCACGGGCACGGTGGCATGCTGCAGTGCAAATATCTGCAGCCCCCTCCCCCCCCATGGGGTGTCACCATGGGCCCCCCAAACCTGCAAAACCCCGAGTAGCTGCTGGGCAGGCTGGAGTGGGGGACGCTTCTCCGTGGAGGACACCCCATCATGGGTCTGGTGGGGTTTTGCATGTCGCAGAGGAAGGATCCTCCTCCCAGGTCCTTCCCTGTGTAACCTCGCTGATGTCAGGAGGATAAAAGTATTTTTGGGTACCCAGCCAGCCAGGCACAGAGGTGCTATGCTGCAGATAATGAGTGGGAAGGAAGAAGTCATTTCAGTCGGTGCATTTTGAGGAGCCAAGTCACCCTTCTGAAACAGGTTGTGGGACCGTCCTTGACGGCACGTAATTTTTCCATGCTCAAAAAAAAAAAAAATCCCTTCATTTCTCTTTAAGCGTCCGTTTAAATTTTTGGTACATACCTTCTTCCTTCACACCATAAATCAGTGTCTGCCAACTGCAAAAAAGCCATTTGCTTGTCCTAAGCTCGACGACACTTTTAGCTTCAGTGGTTCCCACGTTCTCTGGAAAAGGGCAGCGAGGAGCTTGCCCATGCAGCGGCACGACGCCGGCTCCCTGTGGCTAATTCCCAGCGGCTCAGCCGCAGAAACCCAACCTCTGAGGTCATGCCCTCATCTGGGGGCTGGTCCCTCCAACCATCCACATCCACAGCACCATGTCCTCATCCAGGGTCTGGTTCTTCCTACCATCCATATCCATAGCACTATATCCTCCAAAAGGTCCGTGAAGTTCAGTAAGGTGCCCGAAGCACCGGTGGGGTGGCGGATGGCACCCAATGTGTTGCTGTCGATGCTAGTGTGCGTGGTTAAGCAGTGTCATGAGCTCAACGGGAGCTCTCATCTCCTTACCTTTGTGCTGCAGATGTCCCAGCGTGGTTGAAGAGCCTCCGGCTGCACAAGTACGCCGCCCTCTTCTCGCAGATGACGTACGAGGAGATGATGGCCCTCACCGAATGCCAGCTCGAGGCACAAGTACGTCCCACGTCAGCCTTTAAGGGATCGGCCGTGGTCCCCGCTCCTGTGCAGTTGGTAGATGAGACACCTCCAGCGCCCCTTTTTGCGTCTTCACGTGGAAGGCGTTTTGCCCACAGGTGGTTGCAAAGCAAGCAGAGAAAGGCAAAATGGGTCTTGGGGAGTGAAAAACCCCACACTATACCTGAAAAAGGCCTTGTCCCAGATTTTTTTACTGGAGTCCCAGCGTGAAAGTCCCATCACTGGGAGCTGCGCTTGGGTTTTTGTGGGGTTGGGATTAAGTTTAGGAGTTGAGGGGCACAGTCTGCAGTACCCAGCTCCTTTAAAGCCCGTGAGGCATTGGTGGCCAATTGCCTTGTTAACTTTTGAAAATGTCCCCACTTTCAGATTTACCTCTGCATTATCCTCAGGATGGCGAGGACCGGTCAGCACCTTTGCTGTCACTGGTTGAGATGTGCCAGGGAGGGACAGAGTAGCCAGCAATCTCTGATCTTCAGCAAGTCTCTAAGTGATTTTCTATGTCCCCTACTAATCCCTGCACTCAGAAATTTGATTCATTTATAGCAGCCCTTTTCATTTAGGGGCGGAAGGATTTGGGCTGAGCCGCTGTCCTGTGGAAGTGTTAACGCCAGGTTTTGTGCTGTTTTTTGCAGAACGTTACCAAAGGCGCAAGACACAAAATAGTCATCAGTATCCAAAAGCTAAAAGAAAGACAAAACCTGCTCAAATCTTTAGAAAGGGTAAGTAATCACAACAACTTCCATATTTCCTCCTTTTCAAGAAGCTGGGAATTAATCCTGGGGTGAAGAACTCTTCGGTTGTGTGTGTTGTCAGGATCTTTTGCAGAGAAATCTGTTGCTGGCTTTGCTGCACCAGAGTGGTGTCTCCAACACTTCTGTACCAGATGCAGGTTTTATTGGGGGCCGTGTTTTGCAGAGTGGGTCCTAATCCATCCCCAGCACTCATGCAGCTGGGGTGGAGATAACCTGCAGCGCTGGTACAAACCCTGCCCAGCCCCAGGGCGCTTGGAAACACCCGAGCTCTGGGTGCTGGTGGGCACCATCCCAGCAACACTGATGGGAAGGTGGTCACCCATCCACTGAACCGTGGTGCAGGACCAGTTCTAGCTGCACCAGCCACCATGGTCCTCTCTTCCAATGGAGAACCAGCAGGGCAGAGCCTTTAGCCCCTGGTTATCCCTCGGACACTCGGTTGGCTTTCCCATCTCGATGCCACTGTCCCTCTCAAGGGACCCTTCTATGCACAGCAGTCCTCACAGGGTCCCCTGAGCCCAGCCCCTACCTCTCCATCCCCAAAAAGAGATGGGATTTTCCAGTGTCTGGTCAGGTCAAAGGCCACTGTGCTTTTCTGGAGCATCACACGGGCAATCTTGTCCCCAGATAAAAAGCCAGGCACCCACGTCGGTGCCCGAACAACAGCTTGAATTTCCAAGGAGAATAAACAGAAACTTCTTTCTCCCTTCAACAAAAGCATAAACTCGGCAGAAATGGCTGTCAGAGGAGCCCCAGCACTGCAGACTGGCTGGGAGCAGCTCACCCAACCTCTTGCTATTTATTATTGCAATATTATATTATATTTAATTGCACCATCTTCAAACAGCAACTTGCAGAGCTTCCCGCTAGGGGCTTTTAAATACTTATGTGGTGTGTTGCTATTTATTGGTGTTTTTGTTAGCTCACTGCTTCGCTATTTATTTATAATACGGGATTGTACTCAGAGTATGGCAGGAGCTAATAAAGCCATATTTACCTCCGTATATTAATAATAACTATTAAATCCAAGAGACAGCCTGCTGGATTGAGCTTGCTTCGGCAATGTGTTTTCCAGGCGATTGCACAGCCTCTTCCCCCGCTTCTCTGCCTGCGTTTTGAAATATGGTATTGATTGACTGGTGCGGTGCGGGCAGCTTAAGCCCAGTTCAGCTGCCACAACCAGCCACGCATGCTGTAAAATCCGGGAGATAAGTGGCAGGGTCTGCTTTTGAGCCCTCCTGGGGTGGGTTTGGGCTGCGGGGCTGTGACCCTGTCCCTCTTTGGTGGGGCTCAGAGCTCCCTGCGAGCTGCTTTACTTGGGAGGAGACGTCTCTGGTTTTCCAGGCTTCCCATCCAATTTCTTTTTTGCTAAACAAGAGCATGTGTGGGACTTGATTTTTTTTGGGCAGTGTCTCGCTGCTCAAGATTGCTGCTTTCATGGAAAGAGCTGCTCCACCCCTCGCCACCGCTTAGCAGAGTGGGATTTTTTCCCCCCAAAATAGTGCCCAGCAGACTGATGCCAGGTCTTCGAGAGAAGTGGAGCTGAGACATCCGAGAGCGAGCTGGGGGTGCAGTGGGAATTAGGGTGCACGACCATTTCGGGGCTTCAGCTGGCTCGCAGGCAGCCTGCTTGCCCGCTCTGTGTCTCTGCCCTAGGCACAGCCAGGACTCACCCCAAAAGCCGCCCCTTCCCAAGTGGTGTCCCACAAGGCAGACCCTGCAGGAGCCTGCGATGAGCTGTTCTGGTCCAGGCTGTGTTAAAAATAAAATGCAATTCTTTCCCATCAGCTTTTCAATGTGGGAGGGGGATCTGACAGTAGAAAGGGAGGATCCAGGCTGGTAACTGAGAGCAAGGCTGGGGGTGTACCCAAATCCTCGCCCTCCCAAGTGGACCTCCCCCGGGATCTCCAAGCTGAATGGTTTTGCTATAGGGATATAAGTTCAGCTGCAGCCTCGTGGTCTCCCCTTCTGTGACCACAACCTGCCCTGCTTCCCTTGAAACCTTCCCTTTCCCCTCTGCAGCCCGTCCCAGCGCGGACAGGGCTGTCCCTGCTTGGCTGCTGCAGGGCGAGCTCCTGCATCCCGGCGTGGTCCTGGGCTCTGCGATGCTCCCGGGGCACAGGGATGCTATGGCAAGCTCTTTGGGCAGGACAGTTAATGGAGAGCCGGGCTTGAAGGCAGTGCTGGAAACTGGATAGAAGCCCACGTTAAAAAATATAACTGAAATGAAACAGGGCTGAAATGTCACGGCTGTGGGATTGCTGGGTAAGGAGCAAGATACCTGCTGGTCTGGGCATTGAAATCTCACAGGATGAGTCACTCTCATGGGGTTTGTATCTTCCTGATGGAAATTTGGAAACGCTGAAGCTGGATCGTTGCTGGGTTTGGGTCCCAGTGGTTGACAGAGCACATCTGTCTCTGGGGATTCGGGTCTGAACATATCCATGGATAATCAGGCACAGTCTCTGCAGCAGCTCCACGCTCCCCTGCTCTAAGCAAAAGACTCGGTGAATGAAACACGGCTGTCGAATACGGACTGCAGCAGGGTCCTGGAGGAGGAGTGAGGCCACCGGCTTTGCTGGGGGTTTTTGGGGGGGGTAACAGGAGGGGTCTGGTTGTCCCTGCAGAGACAAACCCTCTTCTCTCCGCTTGAATCCGCAGGACATCCTGGAAGGTGGCAACTTGCGTGTCCCACTGCAGGAGCTACACCAAATGATCCTCACCCCCATCAAAGCCTACTCCTCCCAAAACTCGAGCACAGAGGAGCACAGCCGGGACGCGGACTCGCATCACCCCTCCTCCCTGATCGGCTCGGACAGCCAAGGCTCTGACTGCAAGGACTCTGCCGCGGGGGGGATGCAGCAGCACCACTTGCCGGGATGCGAGGGCGAGTCGGGGGGGGCCCCTTTGCCCGAAGGCGACCTGCCCGGACAGTTCACCAGAGTGATGGGGAAAGGTGAGCGGCTGTCACTTGGTATTGGCGTCCTCGATAGGGAGAGCGGCCTTGGGGCAGGGTGCCTGCGCTGGCGGCGCCGGCGGCGGCCTTTCCCCGAGCTCCTGCAAGCGGCAGCCCCGGGGGGTGATGATTTTTTGAGGCCCCGTCACTGTGCTGTGGTAAGAGGTAAGAGCGTGGGTGGGGAGGTGGGCAGTGATTTTGGGGAGGGGCAGCGGTGGGATGGGCTGCCTGCCCCAGGTCAGAGGTGCATGGCATCCTCTCCCTTCCCATTCAGATCCCACCGGTCCAGAGGTATTTCCAGCAGCATCCTTCAGCCTTGTTGTGCTTGTGGGGGAGTAGCAATGGTCCATGGGCTGGACGTGAGTGCAAATCAGCTGGGTCCAAGCCCCTTTTTAAGCCCAAATTTAGGTGCAGGACATCCAAAATACTCCGGTGCCGTTCCGTGCTTGGTGCGGGGTGCACGGCTCTGCCTCAGGGTTAACTGGGGGGTGCACAGGAGCGATGTGTGGTAGGGACTGACCTCCTGCGCCACATACAGGGCTCTTCGAGGAAATTTGTATGAGCTTGGATGTGTCCTAACCCCCCTCAGCGGCACCTGAGGTGTCGGTGCTGGCTGCGTGGAGGGAGATCTCCCTGGGGAAGAGGGGAGTCTGGACACAGGCTCCCACAGGATACCAGGAACAGAAGGAAACCCATTGGGATGCCACAAAGAAACATCGGCCCTGTCCCTATTTCAGACCTTGGGTTTTGTGGTTGTTTTTTTTTTTTTTTTTTCAAAAAAAATCAGTGAGATGTTTTCTATATAAAAACTTGGTGCAAAATTTCTCGCCAGCTAATTGCCTGCATGCGCAGACAGCTGTGGGTTGCTGGCCCCGTTTTAAACCCGCTGATGAATTCAGCCCATGCCAAACGCCTCTGTCACACACAAACCTGTACTCATGGCACAAGCCTTGCTGGGACAAGGTGTCCTCCCTGGCCACCAGGCATCCCTGCCCGGGGGTTGTGACAGGAGAGGCTTATTCCTCTGTGACCTCATTTCCACTTGCTTTTATGGCATTCATTCCAAAAGAGGTTAAAATCCATCAGGAAAGGTGGGAATCCGTTTGCAGCGGGGGCAGATTTTGGCAGTGGGAGCAGGAGCTCTCCCAGCACCGGCTCTTGCCTAGGATTGAGAAATAATCCTGTGCCCCTGATTTGCTCAGGTCTAATTTTGATGACTCCAACGGTGTCACTCTGGATTTACACCAACATAACGGAGAACAAAATCTGGTCCTAAATATAGGACAGCATGGCAGGAATTGGGGAAAGGTGTTTTTTCTCGCTGATGAGAAGACTCACCCGTGGGACAAGGGAAAGGGGATGTCGAAGGTGTTCGCTGGACCTCCCTGGACCCCAGCTCAGTGTCCCCATGCCCACTTCTCTTCTTTTGTCTCTTTTTTTTTTTCCAGTATGCACACAACTTTTAGTTTCCCGACCCGACGAAGAGAATATAAGTTCCTATTTACAGCTCATAGACAAATGTCTAATCCACGAGGTGAGTCGTGACGGATCAGCCAAAACTGGTGTTCTCATCACTTAGAAACTGTTTCCAAAGTGTCTGTTTATGTAAACTTTTTTTGTTTCTAACACAAATATTTTTGGGGGGCTATTAATAGTAATTCCAACAGAACAGGGCTGGAGTGGGCGGCAGCTCCAACGCGGTGCATGGAAGTGTTGTCCCCCTTCCCCGCGCTCGCTTAATTGCCAAGACCTGGAGCTGGGAAACCCATCTGGCTCACGGCGGTCTGATCGGCAGCTGGATAAAAGAAAGAAAAAAATCCCAGGATGAAAGTGCAGACAGACCTGGTGATCCCTTGGCCGCCTCCTGTTTCGCAGCACGTGGGCTTGGGATTTTGCAATGGGGGGCTCTGTTCCTGCTCCCGGCGGATCTGCCTTTGCCAGGTGATGATGGCTTGGGATGGCCGAGGCTGTGCCACAGGGCTCTGGCACGCTCCTGCCCGGCGGCAGGGAGGGATGGCCGGCGTCCCCGGTGCCCAACAGCATTTCATGCCCGTGCCACCTGGAAGAGCAAACCTGCTCTCATCGCCTGCCCGTGTGGTAGGGATCCGGGGGCAGATTGCACGCCCTCACAGGAGCTGCAGGCTCTAAATGGTTCTCAGTTATTTGTTTATAAAAAACGAAAACCACTGTCAAAGCACAGAAGAATCTCCTCTGGAGAAGGCTGGTGGCCACAAACCCCAGAATGTACCGCACACCCCGTGGAAGAGGAGAGGGGCAGCTCGCAGCCTTGCGGCTGAAGCCGGTGCCCGAGCCGCGCTTGTGCAAAGGTTTGATCCACGCATCTCTGCAGGGCCAAGCCCAGGGGATCTTGCATCGGGATGAAATAGTTGGATACTGGGGGAAATGCAAGTGCTTCGACATGTTTTTGGAGCTGTGCTCCCGGACACCTCTGTTGATCACGGTGGGGATTTCGGTGCATTTTGCTGGCAGCGCCTGCGGTGTCAGCCAACGTTTGGCCCCGTGAAATACGAGGTGGTGGCACCCACTGTCTGGGCTTGCTGCAAGACTGGTTTAGAGCCGTGGGTTTGGTCTTCTCAGTGCAGACAGGGGCAGTGGTGGATAGCCGGAGGGGCTGGAGGGGCCAGCATGTCTGTTCCCACTTGCTCCCCTCTCAGAGAGCATCGCAGCCTGGAAATGGTGCCTGGACTTTCTGGATGGCCGAGCAGGGCATCGCTAGGGATGAAGAGAGGAGAGAGGATGGTGGGCGCAGATGCCCAGGGCTGGAGAGCAAAGCCAGGAAGACACGGAGCTGCAGAGGGACTCATTTTCCAGGAGCACCTGGGACGGACGTGGTGACGCAGCGTCACCCCACCGGTGCCAGCCTGTGTCCCAGGATCACCATCTGTGTCGGCTCCGGCAGCACCGGGAGAGAACATGTCCTCCAGAGGGTGGTTTGGAGCAATCAAGTCAGGCGCTAATTAGCCTCCAAATTGTCCTCCGGAGACCTCCGCTCCTCTCCGCCGGCGGCACAAAGACATCGGGTGTCTAAAGTTAGCTGTGGTGGGCACGTGGATGTCCCCGTAACCTACACCGCCGCCTGGGGAGTTTTGGGAGGAGGTGTGTCCCCTGCGTGGTGACCTCCGCAGGGAGCCCGGGCAGGTGACGGGGCTCGCCCCGGGTGACCTCCCGCAGAGGCTGTGAGCACCAGGAACGGAGAGCCGAGCTCTGCCCAGCCCCAAGAGGGGGGATAGGATGCAGGATGCCACGGAGCAGCTCTGCTTTCCAAATCCCAGCTTTTTCCCAGCCCGGCAGCGTTTTCTAGAGCCACGTCCAGGTGACAAGTGCCACCACCCAGCGGGGTGGAGCCACCAAACCCTGTGAGGAGCTGTGCTCTCACCCCAGCAGCAAGTGGGGAGCGGGGCGCCGGCGGGTCTGGGGGCTAGGGGGGGTTAGGGGGGAAGCCCTGCTCTGCCCAGGGGGGGTGGCAGCCTCGGGGGCAGAGCCGGGCCATCGCTCTGGGGTGCAGGGGACGCTGCTGGGGCGTTTTCTCAACCTGAGATGATTAAATCCTCGAGAAACGCAAGGGTTTCCCTCGGGACTTGCCGATGGGGCTCAGCTCACGCCACCACCTGCTCCAGCGGCTTTTCTTTACGCGCACACCCACGTATGCATCCCTGCTCGCTTTGTCCAGAAAAATATTAATATGTTTCCTATTTTTTCTCTTTTTTTGGGGGGGGGCAGGCGTTTACAGAGATCCAGAAGAAGCGGCTGCTGTCATGGAAACAGCAGGTGCAGAAACTCTTTCGGTCTTTCCCTCGGAAATCCCTCCTGGAGCTGTCAGGCTATCGGCAGCAGAGGAGGGACGCCAGCTTTTGGGGAGGGACGGATGCAGCGGCCGGGGGGCCCGGCAAGAGCATCGAGAGAGAGACCGATGTCTCCCAGCAGGGAGGGACGGATCCTGCCGGGCTCAGGGCCGCATTTTGGGAGGGGGGAGGGTTGGAAAAGCTTTGGCAATAAAACCCCAGGCGTTGGCTGGGAAGGGAAAGCAGCAGTCAGTTTGCTTGCCGGTGTGGCCAGCGCCTACCCCACCGATTCCCACTCCCTGGCTCCGAAGCCAGCGCTTCCCAGCTGTGCGGCGTCTCCCCGGGGCTGGGCG